CTACCATAGTTTAGAGATTTCATTTGGCTTTTCTCCTTTTGAAAGATTCCAGAGTGACACCTGAAGAAAAGAACTTGTGTAACTTAAAACAAAATTGTCCTCTTTTTGCTAGTTTGTAGTTCTAGAGAACAAAGAAGGGCACTCACAAGAGCTTAATGTACGGTTTAGCTGTTGTCCTTTTTTCAACTGTTATGCCTTAAGTGTTGTGCACTGCAGAAATTACAGACGTACCTCACTCGGCATGTATATGATGAGCACAGGTGCAGCTGCAGCTTGGCTTGCAGCCAGAGGAAACTTATTAAAGAACATTGATTCCCTGGCTGAAAGTTAAATTCCTAGTAGCTGCATTGGAAATATTCTTCAATTACAGTATAATTGAACAATCTTACTATTATTATTATTTGTCTGCTGACTTCAACTGTGTCTAGACATCTTGTTTAATATGCTGAATGTGTGAAAATGCCACACATCGAAGGTTCTCTAAGAGGGATGGAGATTATATTCCTTAAGAGAGAAATCTTTATTTTTTTCTATTTGTATTCTTTCTCAAGCATGTTTGCATGTTTCTCTGTCCTCGTTAATTTGTTTTGAGGCCAGCTTCCCATTGGGGAATGATGCTGCCTGAGGCCGCTGATCTCTTCAGATGATTGAAAGTAGCGGAAAAAAGTATATTTTTCAAATTCATCTTTAAAAAGATATGTTTGCATGTAGTTTTCTTGATGCATCCATAAATATAAGAGGTATTTTCTCCACCTCTACTTCACACCATTTCTTTTACTTTTCATGTCTCAATTTTCCTCTTTTCTGGCAATAGGTGTAGGCAGCCCATGTGATGACCCCCGGGGAAACAGTTTTTCAAGACCAAGGTTTTACGTATTGCCACAAGGTCTTTGAGGTTTCACCCAGGTCTATACACAAAGCTCCTTTTATAATCCTTCTTCATTAATGACTGCTGATGAGTACCTTTCTTCTGTAGACTTTCTGTGAAGACGGAGTTGTCTTCACTCAGACAGCAGACTGCTGATAAATCAAAAATTCCAAGCTTTTCTCGGGGTGGACTAGGCAAATCATCTCCAGAGCAAGAATGTTGTTTTCAGCTTTTGTCCTGTCAGTCAGTGCAGCTGCTCGCTAGCATTTAATGTGCATTACCTTTGTTTCACAGTTCATACTATAACGACTACTGATTTTCTGCTTATGTGCTGCTGCTGCCATCTATTTTTATGATACTGAAGAAAGTATACATCAGATTATATCCCATGTTAATATTGTTAATATCTACTCATGAAGCCTTTGTTTTTTTCATTTTAACGACAGGAATGAACCATTTAACCTAACAAAGGAGAGGCATATACACACCAAGTCTTTCAGCCTTTTCCTTAAAACAAGAAGAAAGCTGGGAGAGCTGAAATCTCATTTTAGTAAAATGCCAGCCTTTGATTGGAAATGGTTCTTTGAATTACCAAGAAATATGGAGAAGATAATGTTGTGGGTTAAGGATACAAGTATGGCTCTTAGATTGCTTAATTTTTTTTTAGGAAACTTTCATAGTAGCTATGTTAATTTACCAAAGAGTTGCTCTTTTCCAATCCCATGAGTGTTGCTTGAGAACAAAATCCTCAGTAGAAGCATAACCACAATGTGCTGCACTGATGGCAAGTGAGGTATGCACATTGGCAAACATATCACTGTGCAAGAACCTTTCATCCTTCCAGCAAGAATACCTCAAGATGAGCAATTTTGCTGTGCTGCAGCCTCTGACCTGGTTTTGCTTCAGAGCAGCTACAACTTGTTTGATCCTTTTACCACTAGGAAGTTCTTTTTAACCATGTCATTTGTAGCAGTCACATTAGAGATTGTTTCTCCTTCAAACTCCTGCAAAAACATTACCAAGTGGAATTGGCTGTGTATTGTGGCAGGACTGATGTGCTGATTTTCTCTGGGGTCTTTGTGAATTCAGGAACAATTAATCATGTGAAACAAATGGGATTGGTCCATCTGTCCAACTGCAAAAAAAAGGTGTTGCTTTTTCTCCCAAGCTTTGCAAAACCATCATGCTGTTACTGTACTGCTTAGTTAAGTGCTGTGTTGCATGTCTTCTGTTTCTTATGGCTCTTACTCAGCTGTGGAAAGAAATATCAAGTAATGTAACCACTTTCTTCCAAATCTTGGGCCAGAATCTCAGCTGGTGTAAGTCAGCAGAGCTCCACTGACATTATTAGTGCTACAGTGATTCACACCAGCTGTGGATCTGGTCTACTGTCTCAGTTTATGAAGGGCTTGAACTAAATGTCAGGAAATATGAAATGATCTCTTAGAGTCAGCAGTTCTCCAGATGTGTTAATGGAGTTTAAGTTTACCAGAAGGCAAGACTTCAAAAAGTGATCCAACAGAAGAATAAACTTTCAAGAAGAATGCCTTACTTACAGGCTTTTTGGCAATACAGGGCTATACAACTCACTGCAATTTAAAGAAATTAACTATGTTATGCATCAGGGTATGGTAATAAAGCTCCAGTGAGAACCGAGGATGACTGCAAATAATTTCGCAGCACAAAGCAAGCTGTTGGCATGTTGTGAATAACTGCCATGCAAATATGAATCATCCAGTCTTAAAGCCAAAATTAAGTAGCTTATGAACTTCATACAAGGAGTCTAATGCTTCCACTTTGCAAGTGCAGTTGGGTTTATTCATAAGCATGGTATTACAGCTTCTGGAGATCAAATGAGGACCATGTTGTTACAAGAACACAGAAGCTTAATAGTTCTAGCTGTGCAATGTTAAAATCCACTAGCAACTTGGCTTATAGATGGGCTTTCAAGTCTAGTGTTGAAAACAATTAATTTCCCCAATGAGGATGGAATTGTTATTGACATTGCTGTTCTTATGCACTGTCAGGCTTACTTTTCACAATCAGAAAATTCTGCAGTAGGTAAAATCTGAAAGTTAACAAATCTGGGGTTTCAGAACTCTTACCATAATGCCCATAAGACATATGGACAGTGAAAAATTCCTAAGCTACTCTAAACATGACCTTCAGTATCTGAAATTTGTGGTGGTATAGAGATCTTTCATGGCCTAATTTGTTTGCTGGTGAGATCACTCAGAATTAATTGATAGGAGTGCTACTGCACTCTATGTGGTTTGCCTTTGTTCTCACTGAAGACGTATCACTTTAAACTAACCCAGAAAGGTAAAAGAAATGCACACTTTCATTAGCTAAATCAAACATCACATCATGTTGAGTTATACTACCTATACTTAAAAAAAAATAGGATAGAAATGAATTGCTCACTGGCAATGAGAACAATACAGAATGATCTGATCCTGCTGACCAGAGGTTGCTGGCTAAATTGCCTGAATCTGGCAGGATTTACTTGTATTTAGTACAAGAGGGTTTTGATGTCATGCCCTCTTTCTCCAGGTGTCACTGCATACTTTGAAACCATGTATTCAGATGTGAACAAAAGAGTTTTGAAGAGTTCATGGACTAACCAAGTTAGATTTTTAGAGAAAGTAATGATCATAACCTAAAAAAAAAAATGGTATGTTGAACTTATAACAGTTTGCAGAACTAGAATGACAGAGTGGTGAGGAAACTCTTCTAAAAACTGGAGAGACTGCAGGAAGGGAAGGCATCCCAGACTCAGTGTTATTGGATTTTTACTGATTCCCAAGGACTACAGAGGGTTCACCTCCAAAAGGAAATAATTCTCCAAGTCCACAGTAGGAAACATTGTAGTGAGAGCTACGAACTTCCAATGGATTGATAAACTTGAAAGGTAAGAAGCTATGAATCAGGTAGTGGCTGAGGTCTTGGGAAAATTAATACATTTGGAAGACTGCAGTATTTTTTAAATTTTCTGTTCCCTGGATCTTTCCTGTAAGAATGGAAATTTGGGAAAACTTGGTTCTGAATCTCTATAAAGCCAGATTACAAAACAGCAATCAAATGTCCTGATTTTACTTAACTATATTGGCAGCTGTGGAGTAGTTGAAGGTTTGAATTAGTCTAGAAATTAAGATAGCTTTTGAATGCCTCATTATACTAAGCCCTCATATGGCAGCATTTCAGTGTAACACTTTCCATGTCTAGTTCTTCCCATCCTGGTGGATCATGTGTTAGCCTTGGTAATATAAGATTTTTTAACTTCTGTCAGAATTACACCAGTGGAATATACCTGGGCACAAAGCCACCAATCCTCATGAATTTCCAACCAGCATAAAACCTTAAAGTGCAAGCACATCAAGTCTGGGCCCTGCTTCCTATACCAATTCCCTACAGTCTACTGTGAAAAGGTTTAAGAGATTATCTCCCATTTTCAAAGCTGCTAATGATACCACCCTGGAATATCACATCAGTGAGAAATCCAGTAATTAGTAATTCTCCTCCTAAAGCTACAAAACAAGTTTGTCTGTGCAGGATTCAAAGTTTTTTTGTGGATCCAGTCTACGCATATTAATTCATGTAGGGATAGGAGGCTGTCACAAATGTAATCTTCCGTGTTTGTCAGTATGGTTTCTCACTTCCCCTCTGCAGTTTGGTGTTAGGCTTGCACCCTCAACGGAGCTTTGAGATACCTCAGTATGAATCTTCTTAATGCCTCTGTGCCAAATTGATGGACACAGGCTTAGTGCCAGGGTAAAAAATAAAAAGCAGTTAGCTGAGCAATATCTTGTATAGAAACAGTGGAACAGGTCCTCAAGATTTTTTCTGCATTTGTTCTGTTCTCCCCAGCTTGCTGTGTTGATCTGGTGGGTGAAATGATCGTTTTCAGGGTCTTGAAAGTTTTAAGAAAATAACTAAAGGCTTGATATTTATAAACTGAATTTCATCTGTTTGTTTTGCCATTGCCATTTCAGCACATATTTAAGTCTCTTACACATAACACTAAAATCTCAAAACACAGTGTTAAATGGGACCTTGACACTGTGTACACTGGATTTGTTTATATCTGTATCTGTATTTATTTCAGATCTGTTTCTTTGCTTTATATTTCCAGAACAGATCTCTCCTCACAGAAGACAGCAGGCAAGCACTCCCCAGATGTGATGTCTCTTGAAACACTGGAAAACACTTGTGAGCCAGAGGACCTCTTTGATGACATCTAGCTACATGCTGGCTGAGAAACTGAGAGACTGGTGCTCCACATCATGTTGAGCTATAAAACTAAAAAGCTTTGTTATACACTCAGCTGAAATCTTTACAGTATGTGATGACATATTGCTCTAATCCTCTTGCACTGCCCTTATCCCCATCCTTCACTACACGGCTGCAGATCCCTTGGTTTCCTTAGGCTTTGTTTGTGCCAGCCTTGAAATCAGTTCAGCCTCTATGCAGATCTTTTACCACACTTATGTGGGGAAAAGAGCACGCTCACAACATTTTTACATCATAACAGTCTTTGGCTGCTGACTGTATCCAGGATCAACTGTTTTTCAGATGTCCCCAGAGAATCGTTCAGACAAAAGGAAGACTTAAGGACATCACTGTACTTACCTTACATACTACCACTTTCCTGGGGAGCTCAGTTTAGATATGGTTTAGCTAATTCATTCTTGACTTTAAATGAGATATATATCTTTCAAAAATGAAGTATCCAAAGAAGCTACATTTTTATTTTTATTTGAAGATTCTTTGTAGTATCATACATTACAAAGTACATTCTTGCATTTGGGAATAAAGTTTAAGTCTGAATCTATTTTAAGCTTCTGTAGAAACTCGTAGCCTTTAAAACTGATGTTTTCATATTTCATTATTTTTCCTAATTATTTTTCTAAAACAATAAAATGCTTTCTAGAATGCCCTTGGTTTTGTTTTTATTTGCTTAGATAATCTATGAGAAAGGCACCACTTATCAAAATGTTGTAATGCATAACCTCTTCCTGACTAGTGTTGATGCATTCATTTAGATTTAAGAATTTAGCAATGTGTGTTTACTTTCAGTGGTTGACAACAAGTAGAACTAAGCATGTACATCAGGTTTCTGCTTTGCAATTTTAAAAGCTCAAATCAATTTTTATTAATTATTATTCTTCTGTCTAAGAAACAAGAATTTTAAACTTGAATAATTCCATGAAATCACCAGGACTGTGCAATATAGTTCCACTTCTGTGTTCTATGGCTTGCAATGAACCCTGGAAACCACTTCATATTTTTAAAATACCAGTTTATTTAGGCCCTGATCCTGCCAAAATTCAATCCTATACTTAACTAAAAAGCACCCATGTCAGTATTTGCAGAATCAAGGACTCATTTAAAAACCTAAATGAGGATTTGGGAATATTAAAATTAAGTATTCTTTTCTGAAAAGCATGGTCATAGCATTTTAAATTCACAGAGGTATTTGGGAGAATGTTATAAATCACACAGTGAAAACCTGAATGGCCAAAATATTTTGCTTTCTACATAGACTTTGTGCCTGAGAAATGACAGGACCACAAAAGGCCTATTCATGCACTCATTCAGAGGTATTGCCTGATTTAAAATCTTCCAGTGCTGATCTGACAATGCTTTCAACAAAAACTTGTATATAGTTGCAATTTTAAGGTGAAAATTTTCCATGACTTAACCTGAAATAGAAGAGCTTGGTTTAATTTTGTCCGCAGCAGGAAATGAAGGTGAATAGAGTTGAACATCCTGCAAAGTTCTGCTTTCAAGAAACTGTTGCTTTCTAATAGTAAAATGTTAACTAAAAAATAGCAAATATTACACTCAGCAGATGCAATAATTCTGTTAGAATACTTATTACTTTATCTTTTCTTTGAGCCATGAATCAGGTATTCTGTGGAAAACATCATGATGGTGGATGTACATTGGACTGAAAACAGACATGCCATCTAGTTAGGGTTGCCAGTTTCCTATCAGCTAAGTCAGTTTGTATACACAAGAACACCCTCTCTCCATCAAGAACCATTTACAACATGTCAGTCTGTGTGAGACTGTGTTAGTAAAAATGCCCCTTTCTGAAGAATTTGTGCAAGAAGCTGTAGCATTTTTGCCAGTGAATTTCCACAGAATCTTAGAATGTCTTTGGCTGGGAGGGAACTCAAAGTCCACCCATTTCCATCTCCTGCTGTGGGCAGGTTGTCACCCACTAGATCAGGCTGCCCAGGGCCCCATCCAGTCTGACCTTGGATGCCTCTTGGGATGGGGCACCCATGACTCTCAGGGCAGCTGTGCCAGTGCCTCACCACTCTTGGAGTAAAAAATTTTCTCCCAATGGGTGATCTAAATCTCCCCTCTTTTAGTTTAAAGGCATTCCCCCTTGTTCAGTCACTACCTACCCATGTAAAAAGTCAGTAAACCTCTCTCTCTTAGGTTTCCTTTAATTACTGGAAGGCCACAGTGAGGCCTCCCCAGAGCCTTCTCCAGGCTGAACAATACCATTTTCCCCAAACTTTTCTTCATAGAAGAGGTGCTCTAGCCCTCTGATTTGGCCCTCCTCTGGAGCCACTCCAATAATTCCATGTCTTTCTTGTGCTGTGTCCCCAGACCTGGACTCAGTAGTTGTTGTATCCCAGGATACTGGTGGCAAATCTGGCGGAATTATTACATCTGCCAACTGACTGTAGCATTTTCCATTTGTCTTTAGGAGAGATCTTCTTACTATAATGCCAAAATGTGCACATATTAATTGTGAGAAAAGCTGGAATCTCTGCAATTCCTCCATGCTCATGGAGCTCTTGTGGGGTATTTCCAAAGCTTACAGAGCAGAAGGGTTCCCTTGTGAGTCAATAAACAGTACTACGCTTTCTAAATTGAATATAATGTTCACCTTCTTCACAATGTCAAAACATTCACCAGTTTATACTCTTGTGAACCACCATAATTTTTAGGGTCTTATGTACAGAGATATGTGATAGTCACTCGGTTTTGCTTTCTGTGTAGTTGACAATTCCCCAGTGAGTTTTGTAACTGGCATTTCACCTTACTGACTTGCACCTTACTTTTGGAGCTGATTTCTCTAGTTTGTCAAGATGATTTTGAATGCTTATTCTTTCTCAGTTTGTTACTTTTTGATACTTTGGTACCAGGTTGCTCATAGCAAATGTATTTTTGGTTATCAGTATTCCAAATCATAACATCATGTAGTGCACTGGAAGTTAAAGTGTTAATGCTCCAGTTCCAGGTATCTGTCCCAGAAGAGAAAAAGAACTGCATTCCCCAGAAGACTGTTTGCTGTTTTGTTATCATTTCTGCTCAGGTGGAACAGGTATAAGGTCTTGGTAGGTCATCTGACCTCTCTTCTTCGCCAGGCCCTCCTCCCTGCTACTCAACCGAACCGTGCATCTCACCTCAGTGTTATGGTGAGGCCTATCCATCTTTCAGACACACTCTCTCATTATATTTGATTTATTAGCTTCAATTCTAATCATATTGTATTATAATATGTTATATTGCATTCTGATACCATATTTAGTAAATTAGTTTGTTTCTCTTCAGATTGTTGCTGCTGTTTTTAATTATTTTTGCATCCCATGTTTCCCTTCTCCAGAGGCACAGATTTGCAAAATCCCTCTGCCCCGTTAGTCACAGAACCGGGCAGAACCAGCCTGTAAACTGATGACATGTAGTAAGCTCCCTATTGCTGATATGCACACCATTAATGAAAACACTAACAGTTTATGATGAAGAGTTTGGGTGTGTCAGTTGATTAAAGACTCAACCTGAGCCAGCAATGTGCTCCTCTAGCCCAGAAGGCCAATGGTATTCTGATTTGCATCAAGAGAAGTGTGACCACCAGGTCAAGGGAGGTGATTGTGCCCCTCAACTCAGCTCTTATGAAATCCTGCCTGGAATACTGCATCTGATTCTGGGGCACCCAACACAAGAAGGACATTGAACTGTTGGAGTGGGTTCAGATGATGGCCATGGATCTTCATGCTCAGAGGACTGGAGCATCTCCCCCACAGGGACAGGCTGAGGGAGTTGAGACTTTTCAGCCTGGAGAAGAGTAGGCTCTGTGGTGAACATATAGTGGCCTTCCAGTACCCAAATGGGGCTCACAGGAAAGCTGGGGAGGGAGTTTTTATATAGGCATGTAGCAACAGGATGAGGTGAAATGGTTTTAAACTGGAAGAGAGCTAATTTAGACAAGATATCAGGAAGAAATTCATTATTGTGAGGGTGACAAGATACTGGAAGAGGTTGCCCAGTGAGGTTGTGGATGCCCCCTCCTTGGAGGCATTCAAAGCCAGATTGGATGGAGCTGTGAGCAAACAGGTCTAGTGGGAAGAGTCCCTGCATATAGCAAGGCTGTTGACGTAGTCTACCTAGACTTCAGCAAAGCTTTTGATATGGTCTCTTACAGTATTCTTCTGGGGAAACTGGCTGACCATGACCTAGACAGGTATACTCTTCTTTGGATAAGCAGCAGTCTAGAGTTCCGTGCCCAACGGGTAGTGGTTAATGGAGTTAAGTCCAGCTGGCAACCTGTTACAAGTGGTGTCCCCCAGAAGTCAGTACTGAAGCCCATCTTGTTTAATACCTTTATTGATGACATAGATGAAGGGATTGAGTATACCCTCAGTAAGTTTGCAGATGACGCAAAACTGGGAGGTAGTGTTGATCTGCCTGAGGATAGGGAGACCTTTCAGAGGGGTCTATATAAGCTGGATTGCTGGGCTGAGGTGAATGGGATGAGGTTCAATAAGGCCCAGTGTTGGGTCCTGCATTTTGGCCACAATAACTCCACGCAATGCTATAGGCTTGGGGATGAGTGGCTGGATGACTGTGAAGAGGAAAGGGACCTGGGGGTGTTTGTTGATGCTCAGCTGACAGTGTGCACAGGTGGCTGCAAGGGCCAATGGCATCCTGGCCTGCATTAGAAATAGTGTGGCCAGCAGGAGCAGGGAAGTAATCATCCCCCTGTACTCAGCACTGGTGAGGCCGCACCTCGAGTATCGTGTTCAGTTTTGGGCCCCTCACTACAGGAAAGACATTGAGGCCCTGGAGCGTGTCCAGAGAAGGGCAACAAAACTGGTGAGGGGTCTGGAGCACAAGTCTTATGAGGAGCAGCTGAAGGAACTGGGATTGTTTAGTCTGGAGAAGAGAAGGCTCAGAGGAGACCTTATTGTTCACTACAATTTCCTGAAGGGAGGTTGTGGTGAAGAGGGGTTTGGCGTCTTCTCCCAGGCAACAAACAGGACCTGAGGAAATGGCCACAAATTGTACCAGAGGAGGTTTAGATTAGACATAAGGAAAAACTTTCTCTCAGAGAGTGGTCAGGCACTGGAATGGCCTGCCCTGGGAGGTGGTGGTCGCTGTCCCTGGCAGTGTTCAAAAGGTGCCTGGATGAGGAGCTATGAGATATGGTTTAGAGGCTTGTGGTAGCAATGGTAATGGGAGGACAGTTGGACAAGATGATCTTGCAGGTCCAACCTTGCAATTCTGTGATTCTGTGATTCTGTGATTCAGGAGGGTTGGAATTACAGGATCTTAAAGTTCCCTTCCAACCCAAACCATTCTATAGTTCTATGATTTATGATATTAAGCCTCATTCCACTATTTTTTTCTGTAGAGTTACTGAATTGAAAATTACTTTGTGAGCATGGTTTTCTAACTCACTTTTTGGATGACCATGTTTTCTAAGGATGCACATGGAACAGCCTGACATAAGATGTCAGTTAATTTCTTCTCCTATTTACAAAATATTTTAGTGATGATGGAAGACGAAATAGAGAAACATGCCCATAAATGGTTTTTCAAGACAGGAAATTAACTACAGTTAAGAAATCCAGATGAAACTTCAAAGGCTGTCCCTAATTAGTACTTCACTTTGAAATTACTCT